TTGTTGCTTTCTCTTGCTCTGTCTTGTGCTGTTTTTTGTGCATATTATTATCTCTGCAGGTCTATCTAGATATGATAGGAGGGATAAACAATCTGGAGGAGAAAACAAACGGGACTGACAATTATTCTGGGGGGACATGGGAGAAGAGGAGGCAGGGGAAAGGAAGTGGGTGTTAACAAACCCAGGGACAAGGGACAACGAGTGATCCAAAATTGATGGCGAGGAGGGTATAGGAGGGGGCATGATAGGACTTGATCAAGGACAGTGTAACCAAGAGGAATTACTGAAACCCAAATGAAGGCTGATCATAATAGAGGAAAGTAAAAGGAAATAGAGGAAAGAACTAGGAGGAAAAGGGCATTTATAAAGGTCTAAGTATAGGCCTGTACATATGTAAATATGTATATATGATGATGGGGAAATAGATCTATGTGTATATATTTATAGGTTTAGTATTAAGGTAGCAGATAGACATTGGGTCTCTACTCAAGTACTCCCTCAATGCAAGAACACTTTGTTCTACTAAACTGGTATTCCATGATGCTCACCTTCCCGAGATGATCACTGAAGACAAAGCAGGGGCATAAGCAAACGTGAAGAAAGCTGGTGGTAGCCAGCTATCAAAAGATATAGCGTCTGGGGTCTTAAAGGCTTGAAGACAAACAAGCGGCCATCTAGCTGAGAAGCAACAAAGCCCAAATGGAAGAAGCAAACCAGCCTGTGTAATCACGAGGTGTCAATAGAATCAGATATCAGGCATCAAAGAACAAAAAATCATATCATTGTGAATGAGGGTGGGTGCAGATTGGGGACCCAAAGCTCATGTGTAAGCAACTGGACATCCACTTACAGAAGGATGGCAAGGAGGAAACAAGCCAGTCAGGGTGCGGTATAGCACCAATGAAACATACAACTTTCCTCTCGTTCTTTAATGCTTCCTCCCCCACCAATATCATGATCCCAATTCTACCTTATAAATCCGGTTAGACCAGAGGATGTACACTGGTACAGATAAGAGCTGGAAACACAGGGAATGCAGGACAGATAAATCCCTCAGAACCAATAATGAGAGTAGAGATACTAGGAGGGTAAGGGGAGAGAGGGGGAACTGATCACTATATATATATAGTGATATATATATATATATATATATCCTCAGAACCAATTAGAGAGTAGAGATACCAGGAGATATATATATATATAACCTCAGAACCAATAATGAGAGTAGAGAGTAGAGAGTAGATACCGGGAGGGTAAGGGGAGAGAGGGGGAACCAATTACAATATATATATATATATCACCTCCTCCCTGGGGGACGGACAATAGAAAAGTAGGTAAAGGGAGACATCTGACAGTGTAAGACACAAAAAAAGTAATAATAATTTATAAATTATCAGGGGTTCATGAGGGAGGAAGGGTGAGGGAGGGAGGGAAACAAATGAGGAGCTGATAAGAAGGACTCAAGTAGAAAGAAAATCTTTTGAGAATGATGGTGGCAACAAATGTGCTTGACACAAGGGATGTATGTATAGATTGTGATAAGAGTTGTACGAGCCCCCAATAAAATGATTTTTTAAAAAGGTTTTGATTTGAAATCATCACTCTCTCTCTAAGTGTTTTATTGTGAATTAGATGAAGATATACAGAGCAGATCAGTTTTCCACCTATCAATTCATATGCATTTTGTTTCATCTCATGGATTGCAATCCCAATGTAACAAAACTTACGTTACTTCCTCCTTGTGCTTCCTGTTTCCATCTCTACTTCCCTAACCTTTCTGAATTTTGTCCTGGAGTACTGCTGCCCTTGGGTTCACAAATGATTGATGATTCCAAGAAGTGTGGACTTCCCGCGTGTGACTATTCCTCTTATAAACCCGGTGTCTATTATTTCATGGAAAACTGAACCCTGGGAATGTGATTCATTCCCAGACCTGAAGGACAACCAAAGGGTGTTCCACTAGTCCCTATCTGACATGGTATTTTTTTTTAAATCATTTTTAATTTCGTTTCACATTTTGACATAATTTTTTCTGACTACTGAACAACCCTCTAATTCCTTTCTTTAAGTTCTGTTTCAAACTTGTGCGTGAAGTTCCCAGTCTTTCTTAAGCCTAGAGCCCCATTCCTTTACACTTTGTTACTGATAGACCTCTTACTTTATAAGAAAGAGTAAGGCCACTTGATATATTCCGTCAACTTTAAATGGCTGTACCTTAAAAATTTTTCTCTATATTCCCCATTGACTAGGGGACATGTGTTTTTCTGTTACCTACTTTATAGCCAAATGTGTTTTCCTTTGCTCTTATCTACCTCTCTTTATGTCCACCAACCACATTCTAGGATCCACCTCACACCTAAATATATCTACTTATTTTTCCAATATAATTTTTTGAGTACCTAACAAGTGTCAGCATTAAATTACTAGCAGGAAGAAAATTAACTAAAAATCCAGTTCTCCTCTCAGGGAACTCACAAATGATGAGAAATATGAATAGATGCATAACTAATTAAAATAGAATATACTCAGTTCTAGGAATGCAGGCAGGTATAAATGAAAGAGACCTTAACCCTACTTGGTTGGAAAGCGGTTTTCTTGATCATATATCTTATCAAGCCCACCATCTGTAATGGATGCTTTTCTTCTCCTTTTCTTATAAACAGGCTCAGGTCCCCTCTAACTTTAAACACAAAAAAACATCTATTGGTATTTCAGGTAACACCACTATCTGTCATCCCTCTTACTAGTGTGTTTTATAAGGTCACCTATACTCTTGGGTTTGCACACCCAACTCAGAATCTTTTATTCATCCATCCCTATGTCAGTATTCTGTCTTATCGTTTCCACCACCACATTGACACTTCTCACCAGAATCAAAGTTGCGAATAACCACTCAACACATTCAGTCACTTTTTCTTGGGCCTTGTTTTATACAACCACTGTGCTATAAGGAACTCCATGGAGTATTCTCTCATCTCAAAATTCTCTCCTTGATTTTTCTGATACTTCACTTCCCTAATGTATTTCTTCTTTCTATTTCCATTTCTGTTCAAATCTTCAGGGATTCTACTCACTTTTAGTGCCTAAGTAAGTATTAGCTAAGGTTCCTTTTTGAGACACTATGTCTTTCCTCTATCATGTTGATTTTTCTTTCTCCACATAAAATTCATGATAAAAAGCTCTAAAACAGAATTGGGTTGAGAAAATAAGTATTACAGTCAGAAAAACTAATTTTTGGTTTTACCAATTTTGTACCCATGGGCATGTCACATCCCGAACTCCACACAAAAGGCCAGAGCTTTCTGATCTTCCTTCCGATCTCAATCATATAATTCTCACCAGAAAAGGGTCACATTTGTAGCCATAACTTCTCTAATGAGTTAAAAATCCACATTCTGCTTGCCATTTAAATGTCCCACTTCTAAAACTCCTAGACCAACTACTTCCTTAAAGGTGCCTATTAATATGTATATGCTTGTGCCACTAGGATCCTAAACTTAAAAATCCTAATAACTATATAAAATTTCTGTATTTTACTCATGCATTGGCTCCTCTGACTTGTCAGCCCTCCTTCAAAATCTAATTCAAAGAACACAGTTCCCGAGATGTCCTTGGCTTCCCCAGTTGGCTCTCTTCTTCAGTTCTCTCCTTCAGAAGTCTCAAGACATCCTATCTGTGCCTCTCTCATAATACCTGATTTATGTTTTCCTCTGGAGCCTGCTTCAGGTGAAACCAGATTCACACACACACACACACACACACACACACACTGTTGAAAACCAGGCCCAATGCACATTAGATGTGCGATCACACACACACCGCGGCACCTTGAGCCTTGAGCACGGCATGCCCAGAGCCAGTGCCCAAATATGACTAAACAGTTTACGTCAACTAGTAAACTCAAGCTAAACTTTGTACACAGTAGAAGCAGTAGTGTTTTCTTCAGGGACTATCTTCCTCAAGTAAAAGTAACATATAAGATGTTAAGAGATTAAATGACAAAAGATACATAATGATATAGATATTCTAGTTCTAAGTTACATATATTTTTTTCTTTCAAAACATTAGGACCTAATCCAGAAATCATACCATTCCATAGGTCAATCCTATCAAGCAGGATTACACAATCTCTCCCACAGTTTCAAAATACATTATTTTTTTTGGTGTTTTTTTAAATTATTTTATTCAGGGCTTGTACAATTCTTATCACAATCCACACATACATCCATTGTGTCAAGCACATTTGTACATTTGTTGCCCTCATCATTCTAATACATTATTTTTTTAAGGAAGAATATCTCCTAAACTCCCTCAAGTTTAAGCAGAACCTCCTCTCCAAAATCTAAGCCCACACAAAAGCACGCCATTGTCAGTAATCTCTGACATATCATAATATTTATTTTTGAACAAAAGCAGATTTGCTAAAAGATGTACTCATAGATACTTAGTTTAAGAATTTAAGCATTTCTGCTTGATTTTAAGTGTTCATAGACAAAATATTTTGACAAACTATTAGGCTCAGTGAACTATCATTAGAAGTGTAGATTAAACCGAGCAACAACAACTGAGACTTATTGGAAGATGCAGCCAGTACATATCACATTATCTTCTGTTCAAGCCTACAGTACAGAGAATTTCGCAAGATGAAATATTCTGCCATTAATTTTTCAGATTCATTAATTCAATACATTGCTCTATTTTTTTTCTTACAGCTGCTCCTCAATTGCGATGGCTAACAAATTGAAAAGAGGGGGAAAAGGGTTCCTAGTTTATTTTATTACAAAGACAAATGGAAATGCAGCCTAGCAGAAAAAAGAACTAGGATTTCTGAGGCCTCTACACCAGAAAAGTCAAGTCTTTAGCTCAATTCATCTAGAAGATGGGCTGTCTCGGGTGAGGCCTGACACGGAGTACACAGTTTCACTGCGAGAACATTCACTGAAACTGAGAGCAACTGTCTGACGCCTCATTACTGAGGATGCACAGCAGAGTCTGCCTACCTGGGTGATTCCTCCAGGAGCGATCTTGTAGGACTGCAACTTCTGCTTCAGCAGCTCTGGATCACTGTGACGGAAGGGGCACCCTGACAACAGAAGAAGCCAGCAGGCCAGTCAGGTTATTTACCCAAGACTTTACATTACCACACTCGAGAGACCGCCTAAGCTCCCCTTAATTGTCCAACAGCTTATTAATAAAAAAGTTAATTGCCCATGGGTGCAACTGCTTTCCTCTCTTTATCTAAATGACGACTTAGCTGTATGGTTATCAGGCTACTACAGGCTCAAGAGTTACATAACCCCGTGCAGCATTCTCGGAGTGAGCGGCTTATTCAATGGGAGAAGGAAAAGAGCTTTAATTATGCTACTGCAAGCAAGCAGAGCGAATCGGAAGACAGCGATAGCGGTTTATCTAAGAACTACACAATATCACATTTCTTTTAGTCTAAAATATTACATAAATAGGCATACTAGGCAACACATCAACTGAGAAATATAAAAATCTCATGTCATTTTCAGATGCAAACTCTATTTCCTGTATAATATAATCTATAGGAGTTTAGGGGGTCATGGGTGGAAATAAGATGGAAAAAGAGAAAACTTTCATAGAAAAAAATTGTTAAGGGATATATAAGGATTTAATGCTTCAGATCTAAAACAGAGTATAAATGAATATGATTAATATTATTATATAGATACAAGTCCTTTCCATGATTCCATGTTAAAGATAAAAATAAAAACCCAGTACTAAATATTTACATAAATTAGAAATCAGAAGAAACATAAACATAGTATCAAGCCAAAATCTAGAAAGCTTCAGAAATTTTAACAAAAAGCTGGAATAATAAGTCAAAATATTTAAAAATGTAATAATCACTCATTCAATGGAGAAAGAAGTCTCTCCAATAAATGGCATGGGGAAAACTGTATTTCCACATGTACAAAATAAAACAGGATCCCTGACTTACATAATATACAAAAATAAATTAAAATTAAATTAAGGACCTATCTGTGTAAACTGAAACCAGCAAACTCTTAGAAGAACAAGCAGAGGCAATGCTGTTGGGCCTAGTGTTTAAGACTCAATTATCTAATATAGTAACAAAAACACAAACAAAGAACATATTCAAATGGACACCAAGCACATGAAAAAGATGATTGTTGTAATTCACCAACAGAGGTATAAATAAAAACCGCAGTAAGATGCATCTCACTCCCACTAAAATTGCTCAGTAAAATTGAAAAAGTAGTGACAAAAAATAACAATGGTAAGACTTGTGAAATTGGAACCCTTATCCACGGGGAGCGGGGATGGAGGGGAAAAATGAGGAGCTGACACCAAGGCTCAAGTAGAAAGCAAATGATTTGAGAATGATGATGGCAACAAATGTACAAATGTGCTTGACACAATGGATGGATGGATGTGATGAGTTGTGCGAGCCCCCAATAAAATGAATTTTAAAAAAAGAATACACAATGGTACAGCTCAGGTTGAAAACTGTGGCCGTTCCTCAAAAACTACACAGGGAACGAGCATCTGACCAATTTCTACGACCAAATATATACTCCAAAGACTTGAAAACAGACACTCAAAGAGAGACTCATAGAGCAATGCTCACGGCAGCGCTCCTCACGAAATTGAAAATGTAGCAACTTTTGAATTGATGTCTATTTTTCTATGTATGTCAACCACTAAACTATTATTTGGGGGAAAATACTAATATTAAATCTGTTTTTATGTTAGTCATCCAGAGGACTGAGTCATAATTAGAAACACTTGTGCATCGTTAATGAAATTAATGGGAAATGGGTTGCTGCTAAAACCATAAAAGCCACAAAGAATATTTGATAAAACTCTTAAGAATAAAAGCATTCATGATACAGTATAGATTTCTATAAATTATGACATTTACAAAATGGATAGTATATATTGTATTCACATTACATTTACACAGATAAACCTAGTCCTTATTCTAATAAATAAATAGATTTATTCATGTTTGGGGTTTTTTTAATTATTAAACTACAACTGTATTTAGTACAAGTGAGCATCCTGAGAAGCGGATGAACACCAGGTTACTAAGCGTCCGGAGCCAGACTGCCTAGGTTTGAGTCCCAGCTGACCCCGCACCAGACGGACGACCGGGCATGATTGTTTTTATCTTCGTGGAGACAGGGTTACTTTTACTCTCTGAGCTCTGGCAAGCACGGAACATAAAACTTTCATAGGTATCTGACACACAGTAAACATTCAACATGCGTTAGCTAGCATTAGTATTCTTTACATTTTTGATGAGAAATTATAAAAGGTAGCAATGAGAAAGAAATAAACCTGCACAGGGATTTTGTGGTCAAGCCCAGATTTCTAAAGGACACCAATTGTGTTATTCAAGTTACATTTGCAACAATAGCTAGATTTATATGGAAGTTCAGAAAGGAAAAAGAACAAACCAAAAAGAAAAAACAGAACGTCCCCAAGGAGCTAATAACAAACAAAAAGATCTTTTGTAGCTATGTTCCCAAGAAAAAGAAAAGGAAGAACCCAGACTGCTTACAGCAGCTGGTGCTATTCTCACCGATGACCGATGACCGAAAGCAGAAACTTTGTTTGTATCTTCCTCATGGAAGAGCATGATCTTCAAATTGCAAGAGGTTGAACTAACAAGACCGAATGAAGATAAGATGAATTCATACGTTACAAAGACTGATTTGGGCTTAAGTGTTTGACAAAGCTTCCAAACATCCAGCAACAGAAAGAGAAGAGATGGATAAACATAGATTGATAACTACTTGAATAATTGGTCCTAAACAGTGTTGGTTAATGAACCACCACCAACCTCGGGGACTAAATAGTTTTGCAAATAACACAGTCCTAAAAAGGATAGAGAAATGTGCCCAGCAAATCGTATAAGTACACTGAGGATATGATTTCCTGACAGAATTCAAATTAAAAACAAAAATGAACAAATAAAATAAGAATGGACTAGAATGAACAAAATATAGAAATAAGAAATGCAGAATGCTGCATTTAAGTGGCATGCATCAACTACATGAGGGAAAAGCCCTAGAACCTGGAAATTCACAGGAGTTTGACTTGGTCACAAGTTCAACCTGTGTTCAGTTGTCTGCAGCAGCTCAGAAAAGCTAAGCCACTTTCTCAATGAATACCACATATAATCGTGGATAAGCTGAGTTTTTCAGCACATTTTTAATGCCATTTTCGTGGTAAAATTAGGTGCCTCCGCGTATATTCGGGTCAGAGTATACTCGAGTACATACGGTACTTGTCCTAATGGTTCTCAAACTTTAGAAGGCATGGAAATCACCCAGGGAGCATCAAGATACAGTAAACTCTCAGGTCAGTACACTCCCGGCCCTCTATAAGCCTGAGAGTAAGATCTGAGAATATGCATTTCTTTAAAAAGTACCTCTGTAGCACGTACAAAAGGATCACTACGAAACATATGCTCAGTCCCGTGTGTGATTGAGTATCTGATCTGTAATAGTCTACAAGAGTGTGATCTTATTATTTGTAAAGTTTCACAAAAGATGGCAAAAAATTAAAGGTCTTTACATGTCTACTATTGCAAATCTTGTTAATCTAGAAAATTCTCTAGTGTGAACTAATAAATCATTCTATGACAGTACTAGAAAAAATGAAGAGCTTCTCTAGATGTACTAAGAGAACTTTAGGGGGAGTGGGGAAGTTGTTAAAGTCAGAAGTGTACAGAACCCAGTTTGATACAGATCCTTTTAATCCCATAAATCAAGCAAATCTAGAGATACCTTTGATACCATAGCTGAAACTCTTCACTTCATCTTTATTAAGATGACAACAATAAGAATAAGATACTTTCCCTGAGCAGTCTTGAAGATGAATGCATCTACTATTCCCAGAGTGGAGTGTGTCAAGGCAAAGCTTTGACGAACTTTTCAATCGCTCTTCCAGACACTTGCAGCCTTTGAGCAAGCAAAGAGCAGCAGGTGAAGCAAGGAGACTGAGCGCTGGAAAGCCTGGACCAGCACAAACTGAAGGGATGAATTTCTCGTCCCTGACCTACTTCAGTAATAAGACAAATCACTGCGAGCGCATTAGAGCTCTGGCTTGACACTGACGACTGACATAAGCTACACACCAGCTCTTGTTAGGAACGCAGAAAGCCATTACACTGTTCCAGTGTTTTCCACAGAGCTCTTGGGTTTCTGCACTTGGCAAACATAGCCAGTGGAAGCACTTACCATGATAATCCCCTTGGCTTGGTGGATTGGTTAGAATAATCTTGAGGCAACTGTAAGGTGTATAGTCTGTTCGCTTGCCTTCCTTTCCAAAGCTGTGACGGATGTTGTAAGAGTAGCCTTTATCAAACTGAGGGAGGGAAAAAAGACAAGGACAAAGGTAAGTCAGCAATGCTAGTTAGAAACAGCATGCAAAGGGGAAGTTCTTAAAAATAAATTCAGCATTCATAAGCAGATGTACACTCACACACAGAATAAAAACCACTGGGTAATTTATGATACAAGTAGTTTTCGCAAAGTGCAAAAGTTACATGCATAAATTCCTTGGGTAGGAAGCAGCTAATGTAACTGATATTTGGATGTTTAAAGACAGGCGATCCTTTCCTGAGAATAATCACCTATGTGACAATTTGAGTTTGATTCAAGAGATCATACTAAATGTGAATCAGTTTGGCCTCCCCTCTATCTTCTCTCCTCTATCTCTCCCTTAGCTCCAACACCTTACTCATTTTACTTCTGAAATGCCTCTTAGCATAATTAATCCCTTCCTCCTCATTTTCACTATACAGAGCAAATAATCAGTAAATGCTTGTTGAGTGAATGAACTCCTGCAATTGCCTCCTACCTAAATTCCCTGCCTCCATGGTCATAAAGCAAATTAAAGGGACAAAAGAAATTTTTGAAGTGGCTGGGATAGGGAGGGAAAAAAAGAAACTGACAAGGCAATTAGGTAACATGTTTGGGTTTTTTTTTACTTGATGCTTTAAAATGTAATTCTACTTGGTTATTTAAATTCTCATGATTTCTCTCGGATGTTATGAGAAAATGGAGGTACTTTCAAAAATGATTTGAGTCAAGCTTCCTTTAATTCCAAAGCCCAGGAGACAGTTTTCAAAATCCTACACCTTCTCAGTAATAAAATATTTAAAAACCATAGGTCCCAGGTAAATCTTCGTAGGGCATCACAACTTAATTTTTAGGCCTTATTTCAAATGCCAGTGCATCCTAGAAGTCAAAGTTCAAAGTAATCTCTTTTTGCGCTGGACTTCAACAGCATTTTACCTATATCCATCTATCCTGTCGAAGATCGAAAACTATATATTTAATTCTCATCGAGTTTATCTATATTTCTCTTAGGTCATCTTATCATTCTACCTTCTATCTTATTCATATATCTTATTTCTTCTCCTAAACTAGAAGTTCCTGAGGCAAATTCTATTTGACCTTTTCTACTCCGCTCAGTATTACCAAGCATAAGCTAACTGAAGATGGAAGGAATCCTAGGGCGACTGAAGCAATTGAAAAGGGATCATTCATTTTTGCTTCCACTAGATATTTCCCATCATCTGATGGCTGGTGGTTTTCCCGTTCCAGTATTAGAAGACACACATTTGGCACATCACTCTTGCCTCCCATCGGTGAACCAGAAGCACACAATGGGCAGACAAGAGGAAATATTCATTCACCGATGGTGAAATCTCAGGCAAAAACCCCAACTTGTCATGGAAAAGTGAAGCAAGCATTCATGTCAAGTGATTATTTGGGTCAAAAGTGTAGGTTTAAAACTACTAAGTTTATAAAATAAATGCTGTCATTAGTTGCCATCTAACTGATTCTGACCCATGGCAACCCAGGTAAGCGGCAAAGAG